ACTAAGAAAACAGACACACTGCCTGTAAAATTCCACTACGCAAAAACAAACAAGCTTCTCAACACACAGAAGTCAATTTTAACTCAATAGCCCAATAAACTCCTTTTTACAACCAACCAGATCAACACCCACAACGTATGACCACAACAATCACAAGTCTGGAGCACTGTTTTTGTAGCAGCGCATTACTGCAGCACGCTCCAATGATGAGCACCACCTGGGCCCAATCAGCTCTACCTAGTGAGCAGGCAGAGAGACACAGTGAAAGTAAAAAAGAAAACACACAACATAACCACTCCCAATGGGCAGTAAACACACAAACAAACATCAATAATAATAAATACATCCAAGGGATGTAACACCAAGCAACAACAAAAAATTATTTAAATGAGCTTTAGGAGTAGCATTACATGGACATCGGAAAAATAAGACCTGTGCAAGCATATTTAAGACCTAGAACAGCGAATTTAAGACTTTTTAAGGCCTAAAATTTAGATGTTTATATTTTAGACCTTTTAAGACCCCACGGAAACCCTGTGTAAGCCAGATGGCATAGCAGAGGGCAGGTTTCATTCACTTATTGTATGCGCTTTTTGGATATGCACATAAAAACGGTTGATGGAAACGCTATAATGCGAATATTTTTCGAAAATGTGTGTGAATGGACAAAACAGCAGGCTAAGCACATTGTAAAACATCTAAAGTGTTGTTTTGGTCATTCTAAACCGCCTCAACCATTTCAGTATTGTTATAATATTAATATTTTATTGACCTCCAAAATTGTTAAGAGTGTCTGCACTCCATGTCTCGCGCCTTCAAACGCCAGCGCGCGATCACTGCGCGTCAGGATTGCCTTCTGAGGCGCAAGTCATTTATTAAATGAAGATAATATAGTCCCGCAGCCACTCCCACCGATGCATATTCTGTTTTTACTTTTGATGTTTGTCGCCAGTTAATCAGAAGGTGGCAATTTTGTTCTCTTTGACTTGTTGGACGGAAACGCTGCTTTATTTGCAGTCTTTTATGCGATATTCTAGTTTTGGGCATACATTTAATTAGCATTTAAGATGATAACATAGCTATTCACACTGCATCAGCACAGCTGTCCCCTTTCTTCCCCATGTACCTGTAGGTGAACAGCTCCTCCGGGTGTGGCCATAGGCATTCATCCTCTGCTTTTTCTTCCTCATTTCTTCTGTCTTAAATCTCCATATGTCAATTGATAACTTCGTGACTGTATGATGATGACGGTCAGCTCACGTAAATCTGCAGTAGCTTGAACTTGTTTTTCGGTTCAAATAATATACCAGGCTTTTCATTGGTCCATTAAGATGAACTTTTTTTATTGGCTACTGAAATGCTGGTCAGTGCATGCTTTAAATATTACTTTATTTACAGTACTCTGTAACGAATTGTGATTTTAAAAGTAACGAAGTAGATTAATCAGCTTAATTTGTACTCATGTACAAGTAAAATTACAGGCTTAAAATTCTACCCATGGAAATACAATTACCCCAAAAATTTACTTAATTACAGTAACATGAGTAGTTGTAATTCGTTACTCTCACCACTGCTGTTTACTGCTGAGTGTGACATGGCAGGGAAAGAAACAGCACCTCTATGTCAGAGACCATGGTGCTCGACTGGAAAAAGGTGGCCATCTCCAGTTTGAAGGAAAGTCCTTAACTCAAATGTAGCTCAAGTATCTGCGTTTTTTTCATGAGTAATGGAATGTGAGATTTAAAGATGGATCAGTGCAGTGGCGGCAGTAATGCAGTTGATGTGATTGTCTGTTGTGGTGAACGAGCTGAGATGAAAGGCAATGTTCTCAATTTACCGCTCAATCAAGGTTCCTACTCTTAATTATGGTCATGACTGAAAGGACAAGATCTTAAATACAACCGGACACATTTCACAAAGTGTTATGACCTGCTTGTTTGAGTCGCAACATAAAAGAGAGATGAACCAACAAAATAGCCTGAATGCAAATTATTTATTATAAAATGTAACTCATAAAACAATCAATCAAAGCAACCAACAAATGTCTAGGGATAATAATGAAGATAAAGAACTTAGGATATAATCACAACAACACTTTAACTACATGATACAAGCAATGCAAAACAAAACCATAAGGTTAAAGATTTAATGAGATGGCAGGTCTTGACATGAGGACTCCTGAGTAGCCACAGCGTCCTGGATTAGCTAGCAGCCTAGCACAACTACTTTTATATACCCATTGATGAGTAATGCAGGCATCCAATCAGGATTTACCACATACTCCAATCTGGAGTCTTGGGATCATCACAGTGTAGTAATATTGTACAACTTAATACCTTTCACTCTGCCTAAATCATCAAATATTCATAATTCATCTTTATTTATTTGTGTCTTTCCAGTGATGCTACTCATTCAGGTAGTCAGACAGAGAACATCATCCAAAACAATACTAGCTACATGAATACACTAGAGAGTGGAGTACAGATGTATCCGCACCTGTACAATCATTTGCAAAGAGAGATTTTAAGCTGCTGAGATTAGGCTTGGGCGGTATTACGGTATTATGGTATACCGCTGGATCTAAAAATAGCAACGGTGTCAGTTTCAATACCGTTATACCGTCATAAAATATTAAATATCCTTTATTTAATGCCTACAAAAACGTATGTGTGGTTGTCATCACGGGACAGTGTGGAGGAGAGAGGGAAAGGAAGGGGGAGGGGGAGGGGGAGAAGGGGGAGAGGGAGGGGGAGAGGTGACGTGACGAGTGGCGCTTCAAAGTGTCCTGCAGTTTGGCAGTTTAGACTGAACAGAAGGGAGACGTGGTTAATATGAACGAGAGGTCTGCATTAGAGCTAAAGATCTTTGACCGAACCCGGCGAGACCCGAAAAAATCCAAATCCCTGAATTAAAATCTATACCTGCAAAGGTGAAACAAATGATGACGAAGTAGTAAAAAAAGAGAATTTTGACGGCGGTCAAGTCAGTCACTAGTTCAGAGGGAGCGGTTATTCCAGCCGCAGGTATTTCGTGGTCGCTCATACACTGCGTATTACGGTAGAGCCCTAAACCGCAAGCTGACAGGTAAAAAGAAGAGGCCATTCACTTAAGTGAAACTGCTGTCATGGAAAATTAAATGCATGTTCCTGACTGGTAGAAGATGAACAAACAATCCTACCAAAAAACTTGCAAAATCAGCCGGATCAGAACTCTGCATCTCGGCCTGTAGCCGCAGGAAAGGGTGTTCAGTTCTGCTGGACGCACCATGAGTGCAAGACTGTACTAAAGCCAGTGGATTTAATAATGTTCCTCCACAAACACACGTAGCCTAATCTTGGTGCGTAAAGAGTTTTTAAATTATAAATAAATATTAATTAAACCATATAATCATAATGTAGACAGAGTATACAGGCTAATGGTGGCATTATTCTTTTAATATTCAGCTTCACCGCAGCCTTAATGCCAGATTGTGAAGAGAAGTGGAGAAACACATCTTGCAGAGCCTTTATCTTAATTTCGTTATTGCCAAAATACCCGTCATCATTTAGAGTTTATTTTAATTTGATTTGTTAAGCAAGATTACTTTTCATTGGTGTGTAGGCTAATTTAAAGGCTAAGTGCATGTACCTAGACCTATAGAGTGCTGAGATGTTACGATGTTACAGCTGTAGGACTTATTTTATTTCTTTGTTCCAACTTTCAAGTGGCCTATAGTCTACGCTTGTTACGAATAAATGATGTTAAAACATATAAATGACTCATTCTTGAAAAAAATGCATTAGAGCTGTGTGCATGAGCACATTTTAATGTAGGCTGTGAACGGGTTTGGGCTGTATAAAGCTGTCAGTCAAAATGTACTGTACCTGTCGGACTCGGGACCAATCGGGTATAACTGCTGTTTCGCGGGAGCCAGCCAGATTTCTTACGGTGTGGGAGTAAATTTCTGAATAAATCGCGGGAGAGATGTGTGTGTGTGTGTGTGTGTATGTGTAAAAGGGAGGGAGAGAGAGAGAGAGAGAGAGAGGGAGGTGCTGTGCATCGCTTTGCGCTCTCTCTCTCTCTCTCTCTCTCTGACCGCGAGCCTAAGGTCGCATAGAATGTTTTCAGTTTCTGAATGGTTTAGGCTTTAGCCAACAGTTTGGTGACGCTGTCTGAGCCTTACGTCATAATTTTTTTTTATTACGCCGGTAATACCGGATACCGGGGTAAAATATGGAGGCGGTTTGACGGTATCAAAATTTGGATACCGCCCAAGCCTAGCTGAGATGCTGTTTGTCAGATGTTTACGAAACTGTTCTTTCAGCCACCATCATTGTGTTTACAGTAAACGTGAGGAGCACAACACATTTACAACCCCACCTACTGCAGTGTAGGAGTGTTGGAAAACAGTATATAGTCATTCAGCCTTTTCAAACATTATTCAGACATAAAACATCCTGTGCACAGAGAAAATGTTTTGCTGCATTCATGTCATGTTTGCAACTTTTGTCCAATTCTGTAGACACTGATCAGATCTGTACGGTTTCTCTCCAGTGTGAATCCTCTTTTGTGTTTTCAGATGTGTTCACTGATTAAACCTCTTGTCACAGTGTGAACACCTGTATGGTCTCTCCAGTGTGAAACGTCGGGTGCAGTTTAAATTTTGAAATAAAAGTCTTCTTACACTCAAAGCACAAATACTCTTTCACACCAGTGTGGATCTTTATGTGTTCATTAAGGTTTGCTAATCGGTTGAAACTCTTCCCACACTGAGTGCATTTAATGGTTTATCTCTAGTGTGGGTCTTCATGTGTTTATTAAGGTCTGAGGAGTTGCTGAAACTCATCCCACACCGAAGCTGCAGTCACACTAGAGTTTGAGCATGCGAAATTCTGTTGTTTGGCGCTGTGAAAAGCGGCGGGATTAAACAAGATTATTAAACATAAAAAGTGAGCTATTGGTCCATATTTTACATTTTTGTCCAGAAAGGTCATGTTTTGATCTTTGATTGGTCTCACACAGTCAAGTGATGCGATTTTGCAGGTCAGAGTTCACCAAGCTTGAACTTTGCAATGCAGTGAACTGCGAAACTTGACACACAAACTTGGTTTCCGGTCTGACACATTCCCGTGCGTATGAATGGAAATCCATGGGGGAAAAAGTCCATTGTGACCGCTGCTTAAGTGCAAGTTTCTCACCAGTGTGGCTCATAATGTGTAGATTAAGGGATGATGAGCAGATGAAACTCTTCCCACACTGAGTGCATGTGAATGGTTTCTCTCTAGTGTGGATCCTCATGTGTCGATTAAGGTTTGATGATTGGTTGAAATTCTTCCCACACTGAGTGCATGTAAATGGTTTCTCTCCAGTGTGAATCCGCATGTGTTCATAAAGGTGTGATGAGTAGTTAAAGGTCTTTCCACACTGGGTGCAAGTAAAGGGTTTCTCTCTAGTGTGGATCTTCTTGTGTTGATTAAGGGATGATGATTGGCTAAAACTCTTCCCACAGTGCGTGCATCTGAATGGGTTGTCTCCAGTGTGAATCATCATGTGAATCTTAAGATCTAAATTTCTTCCAAAACTCTTTCCACACTGAGTGCATGTGAATGGTTTCTCTCCGGTATGAATCATCATGTGTTCATTAAGGTGTGATGATCGGCTGAAACTCTTTCCACACTGAGTGCATGTGAATGGTTTCTCTCCAGTGTGGATCCTCCTGTGAATCTTAAGTTCCCTTTTTCTTCCAAAACTCTTCCCACACTGAGGGCATGTGAATAGTTTCTCTCCGGTGTGGATCCTCATGTGAATCTTAAGATAGCCTTTACTTCCATAACTCTTTCCACACTGAGTGCAGGTGAAACAATTCTTGTCTCTCCTTTTCAAAATATCATCAGTCTGTAAATGAGTTTTTTCCTCAATTTTGACATGATGTTCCTCCTCTTTACTCCCCTCATTCTCTTCAATTAGGTCTGAAATAAATAAAACATGTTTTCATTAAGTCTTAAAAACTCTCATCAAAAGCTGAAAAGTGGAAAGACACTGGAAACATTGGCTACACACTGCAATTTTGATGCATGGTAAATGTAAAATAAATCAGATCATATTTTGTTTGGTCCATTAACATGTACACATTTAAGCAGATGCAATTCAATTCATCTTTATTTATCTGGTGCTTTTACAATGTAAATTTTGTCAAAGCCACTTAACATAGAAGTTATAGTAAATTGAAACCGTGTCAGTCCAGTTTTCAGACTTTCTTACATAATTGATCATAAAAGTAATTTTGGTCATATTAATAAGACAGATTTGAAAGCTGTAAATTGAATTTTTATTTGTATATATTCATAATTACAACAAAATGTTTTTCTAAAATGTGTAAAGCAGACAGGGAACAGGGCCGGAGTGGGACACCTTTTTAGCTCTGGAATTTCAAGCCTTAGACCGGCCCACCTCAGTAGACGACTGACTATATCAATAATAATATGCGGATGATCTTCTTTTTCTGTCGAATCCAGATACATGTATTCCAAAAGTTTTTACAATAATTTCAGAATTTGGAAATGTTTCTGGATACAAAGTCAATCTAGCAAAGAGTTTCCATTTACATTTTACATTTACATTTAGTCATTTAGCAGACGCTTTTATCCAAAGCGACTTACAAATGAGGACAAGGAAGCAATTTACACAACCAAGAGCAACAATGAATAAGTACTAAAGGCAAGTTTCAGGTCTGTAAAGTCTAAGAAGGGAAGTGTTAGTAGTTTTTTTTTTTTTTTTTTTTTTTGTACAATTAGTACAATTTTTGTACAATTGTACAAAAGTTTCCTTTTCCCTATCAATGATAGAGCACAGAAAATGTCCTTCCAATCCTTTCTATTTTCATTTTAGTCCTGATAAATTTGTATAGTGACGCGCAAATATAAGGATTCGTTCAATAATAATTTTAAAACGACATTAGTGCTCAAGGACGTTTTTAGTGGTCAAGAACACTTTACAAACAGTAGGAGAACAAGAAAAGCAACAACCTTAAGAAGGTAGAGAAAATGGGAGACTAATAATACATAAAATAATGACAAAAGACCTGAGAACAAGTAACAAAAGAAACTCGTTCCTGTCTTTCAATAAGTGCTTATGTGCATTTAAGAGAACTAGGCAGCACACTCAGGGCTGCAAGATTGATTTAATTTAGTATTCTTATTATTAAAATATATCTGAATGAAGATCAAATGACTGAGTTGGTTTTGAGAATGAAAACTAACCTGTTTGTTCCTGCAGATCTTCCTGTTTGACTGTGATTGTTTCTTCAATCTTCACATCTTCACTCTCCTCTTTAATAAACGCCATCTTTATAACAGTGTGGAGATCAGTCGCTTCAGCAGGAGTTTTTCTCTGTGTTTGGACACTTTATCCTGTTTAAAATGAACAAAACAATGAACAGAAACAAAATAACTTCTCTTCAACACTTGCTTCAACAGTTTCTTTATATGAGAGTGATTGACAAAAATAAATCAGGTAAGTCTGAGCAAGAAACAATAGCCACTAACAAATGACCTAATAAAATAAAAACTAGTTCTCTATTTATTATATATATATATATATATATATATATATATATATATATATATATATATATATATATATAAAATATTGTATACTTATATTAGAATGACATTATGCTAGTAAATAAATAAAACCTTCATTAAAACACATTTCTGTTGTTCAAACAATAGCCCTCGATTACTGTGATTAAAATAGTACTTCGTTGTATAAAGAATTAAAATAATAGTCAACAGCAGGTATGTCATATTGGAAGAAAAACCTGAAACTTTAATCAATCGGTTTATATTTGTGTAAAGTTGTGAAACAAACCTTCCTCCAGTTGAACTGCAGCGCGGAAGCGGCGCAGCCTTATGACGTCACACAACACGCCAAAATAAAAGTCTTTTTTGTTCAGTTTTTTTTTTTTTTTTTTTTTGGCCACTTACTGTTGCAGTCAGGACATTCAGTATTTGAAGTTGATCAAAACTTTTAATCCAAACATTTTAAAACAATTTTGAAAAACTTGTTTAAAACACTAAGTTTAAGTGTTTTTTTATTATTATTGTTGCAAAAAAGTTTACATCACAAAACAGGGAACAATCAACATTGCAAGGCATATTTACCATTAAAATATATAAAACAAATTTAATTTGTTACAACTGCAATAAAAGATCTACATCAAAAGAAAAACAAAACATTATGACAATAATTGTTTTAAAAATAAAGTACAGAGAGCTTCAGTTATTTTACTTTGGTTTCTGAAGTATTTGAAGCTTTGAGTCACTTTCTCTACCTCAGAAAGAAAACACCTAAAAGAGGGTCAGCACTTTTGATATTTACCCATTAAAATAAAGTTCACAACATCAGAGAAAGAACAATGTAAATCAGCTTTGTAAAATAAAATATCTTCTAGAACAAAAGGGGGGACTGAAATCATCTTTAATGAAAGCCAAGGATGGATGTCAAACCAGAATTTAAAAGTAATTTCACAAGAAAAAAATAAGTGATTGAGTGTTTCTGGAAGATTTGAGCATATCTATCAACATCAAAGTTAAATCTTTTTTGAATAAACTAATTCACAGGATATATCCTGAATACAATTCTGTAATGAGTTTCCTTAACCTTAGGTGCTACAGGCGATTTAAGCTAAAAGGTAAAAGCTTTGTCCTCTACTGAGGGTTTAACAACTCCTAGATAATGACACTTAAAATCACCAATGATAAGCGTTTAAATTGTTTGTAAATAAGCTTGATGTTACATTTACTATCGAAAATATCATATTTTGATATTTTTAAAAATGGAAGAAAAGTTATAAGTATAAATGGGAGATCAAAACAATTACGTTGAATTACCCTAAACAAAGCAATAGGTATAGCCTCGCAAATTTCAGTATAACCTTTATCTGTGATTTTAACTCTATATTTATTTAATAATCCGTTTTGAGATAGTAGCAGTCAATTTTTGTCTAACAAATCATTAATAAATATAATGCCTTTATTGTACCAGTCACTTTTAAACAATAATTTTCTGTTAATAATAACAGCCTTTTTATTCCAAAGAGTGGATTTATGAGGGAAAAATTATGGGTAAATATAATTTTCCAAAAAAGTAGTGCTCGCTTATGAAAATTAGACAGCGTCAAAGGAAGTTTTGAACAATCATAATCATATCTTAATACAAATTCAAGGCCACCATTTTTAAAACAAATTATTTGGGATATGATACAATATTGAATAAGGCTTAGCTAAACACTCTTTCAATCATTTAACTCTAAAAGTGCCAAGAAGACATTCAAAATCGATTGCTTTTAAACCTCCATATTCATACTCTTTGATCATATGATTCTTAGGTAAATAATGTGATTTATTTTTCCAAATAAATTTAAATAATATTGAATTTATAGATTTAACTATTTTGGGAGGAGTATATAAAGGATAAGTTAAATATATAATTTTAGATAATCCCAGTCAAAAGAATTCTACCCAATATGGAAAGGTCTCTAGCTAGACAATGATTTAGGGATTTTTTTCACGCCATCCATTTTAGTATTAAAATTTGCACATTCTCTATTAACAGAATTTTTGGTGATGGTAACTCCCTAGTATTTAACTTCTTCTTTTACTAGAATGCACTCTAATTCTCTTAAAGTACAATTCTGAATAGTTAATATTCCACATTTCCTTAGGTTTAAGGTGAATTCAGAAGCTTTAGGAAACAGAAATTTTGACAAGAGCTAAAGGGAGCACCTCCCTTTTTTTTAAAGAATTAATAGAGTGTCATCAGCAAACTGACTTAAACTAAAAGTCCTACCAAGTATATCAATACCTATAGTGTACTCTGGTTTTTTTTCAATATAATGACATAAGTTCAACAGCTATATTAAAAAGAAAAGGTGAGATGGGACATCCTTGATGGATTCCTCTTTTGATGTAAACTCTAGGAGATGATCCTGAATTCAGAGATTTACTACTGAATATATCAGTATAGAACATGGAAATTACCCTACAAAAGCTCGGACTAAACCCAAAAGGTTCTAAAGATTTTCTAAAGACAAAAAAGGATGCTCAAGGGTATCAAATGCCTTGAAAAAGTCTAGAAATAGAAATAAACTTGTCTGAGGAATTAAATACCTATAATTGAGCATATCAAGTATCAGTCTGATATGATTGTGAATACTTCTCCCTTTAATGAAAGCTGATTGTGTTTCACTAATTATCTCGCCTATACCTTTTTTGAGTCTATTGGCAAATACATGAGAGAGCAATTTAAAATCATTGGACAAAAGAGTTATGGGTCTCCAATTGTCTAAAAATAATTGGCCTTTGCTTGGCTTTGGAACTAAATGATTAAACCCTGCTTCATAGAAGTCGATAGTTCTCTTTCTCTATACATTCCTTAAGTGCTTTAAAAACTAAAAATCCCATCTCTGGCCAAAAATGTTTATAAAACTCAACTGTAATTTTGTCTATACCTGGGGATTTTCCATTGAACATTTCAGAAATAGCAACATCAAGTTCAGAGATAACAATGTCAGATTCCATCATTTCACAGAAGCTGTCATCTATAATAGAAACTTTATCTTTTGAAAAGGAAAAGAAAAAGTCACAATCACTCTCATTAAATTTTGATTTACATAATAATATGAATAGATGTGATCATCAATCAAAGTTTTCTCTTCACTTAAATTGTTATTTATGCTAAGTTTATTAATAGTTTTTGAAGATTGTCTATGCTTTACTTAATAAAAAAAATATATATATGAAGAATTTTTCTCCCCCTCCTCTATCCATTTCACTCTAGATCGTAAAGCTCCTTTAGCTTTCTCTGTATAATAGTAATCTAACTCTGATGGCAAAATACGAAGTTCATTTTGTTTTATATCTCCAAGAAAATCTTTATCACCAAGGTCATTTAATCTAGATAAAACTGTTAACTGTCTTTTTTTCCTAAGAGAGGAAAACAATAGCTCATTACAGCAGAGCCATTTTTAACCTGATTCATTTTCAATTTGAGAAGAGCAGGTGGCAAAACAAAAAGAAAACCAAGCGGCAAATAGGGAGAAAAGCATTTGCCAAATGCTTATTTAAAAAGCTGTTTAAAATGTGTTTTGTGATTTATTAATACAATTTTTTACTGTTTGATTAATCAGCCTTTAAAACATGAATTAAATAAAAATACAGTAATAAAAGTGTCTATTTATTTATACATTTAAAATGTTTTTGTAATGCATTGTTTTATAGCCTAATTAAATGACTTTTAACCCTCTGGGGTCTGAGGGTGTTTTGGGGCTCTGGAGAAGTTTTGACATGCACTGACATTTGTGTTGTTTTCAGTATCTTAAAAACATTTTAATGGCTAATGTGTGATAACACTGTAAACAGCACAAGTTGGGCTACAATAATACCTAAGCAGCATGTTTGTATGTGTTTGTGTTTTTGAGAAAGAAACGTTTATGCGTGGTTAGTGAAAAACTAAAATTTTGAAATCCCTGAAACAAGGCCGTGAAACACACAGAGAACATTTGTGCACAAGACTTTTGAGAACTGGATCTGGTAGTCTAGTGTTTTTGCTTCAAAATGATGTGAGAATCATCTTGTTCACTTACTCACAAAAAACAATTCTATGAATTAAAATTTCTAAGTCACTTTCTGTGTGAAAATAGTTTATGCGAGAAGGCGTGAACTATCATTACTATGCAGTGAGTAACACCAGAGAAGACAAAGACCTGCATAATGAGCCATCAGACAGGTATGTGACTAAGAGTTTCAAGAAAGAATCTGAGAAAAAATAAGTTTATTTATATATTTTTATTTTTATATTGTGTTTATTTTTATATTATTTTTATATTGTGCTTCTTCACCTGTGTAGCATGCCATCGTTCAAACAAAATAAGTAACTATAATAAAGCTTGTCGTTTGATGCCATGTCTCGGGGAGCGTTTACATTATCACCTGGCTGGCTCACCTCAGTTCATTTTCATATGAAATGCGCCTTCACTGCGGGCGGGATCACGTTCGCTGTAATGAGGCGACAGGAGAATCAGTACCTGCCCTTACTTTTATACAAATTACTTGAAAGATTATTTGTTTTCGACTTATATTGGTTAATGCAAAAGTAGACATATCAAGCTTTCTTTAGAAACATCTCACATGTTTCTTTGGCGAGTATTTGCTGAGTTTCAATTCATTTTAATGACGTGTTTTTCCTGACACAGTCTACTGTTGCGCGCTCCTCATGCAGGCTGTTTGTAATGTCAAAGCTTCGTGGGCCTGGTCGCAATAACTCTAATGAGCTCAGACTGAGAA